GGTACTATTTGAAACCCTGTAGCCCGGAAACAGATCAAAAAAAAAACTGCCGGGTGCAAAAAAAAACCAGTCCAAAACCGAACAGCATCGCCTCACACTCGCCCACACCCGCGCTGCCTCACCAGCACTCGTCCCAGCCTCCTGGCGAGGAGCGAGCGGCTAACCGCGGGACCCTGGTTGACCAACGAACATGAACAGAATAGACTACGAGGGAGGTGAACATACAAGCGCTGGGGTTTAGTCACCCGGGTTTGCAGAAAGTCACCCGGCCGCATGTAAACGCAGCATCCAAACAATACAATGTTGTTGACCAAACACTCTTCCAGTTATATTGCCATCTTGCATCTAACCCCATTGCAAACGCAGCATCCAGACGACTTTCTACAAGACCAGACGACTTAACACAGGTACTTGTACCACCGATGAGGGGTCCAGTTTGGACCGCCAAAGAACTAGGAAAGGAAAGGAAAAGGAAAGGAAAAGCCTTTAGAAAGTTCACTGAAGAATGTTCACCTGGTCTCCGCAAAAGAGTTCTTTGGTTGGCCAAAGAAGCCGCTCAAAGGAACAAAACCTGATTTATTGGGCGCGCTCTGCCACCCTGCGCTGATCTGCTAACTAACCAACTAGCCAACCCCCTGCGTAGTTTTTGCCAGAACTTGGCCTGGTCAATCTCACAGAAGATGCTCCCCTTGCTCGGCACACCGACCACGGATTCCCCACACCACTTGCAAATCCTCAGGGTCCGAGGCGAGAGCGGAGGAGACCGCCAGGCGCAGAATCGCCCGTGTTGGACCAGGTCCCTGGAGCCAGTCTGGGACCCAGGTGCTTGATCCATCCAAGTCTGCGATCAAAGGAGAAAGGGAAAACGCACCCCAAAACAAGAAAAGAAGAAGTCTCCCGTCCCGTAGACCACCGAGCCGATGAAGCTTGGCCAAGACTCTGCTCGGAGCTGGTGGCGCCACGTCCCGTCACCCAGTGATGCCCACAGCGTTTGCTTGGACAATGAAAGGCCAGCAAGTTGGCCACCTCCTGAGGAATCCGGGGGATGCTCCGAGCGGTGAGGCGAGACAGTTTTCGCAGACGATTCGTTAGCCATGCCACCTCTTTCAGCCACGACACCCCGACCTCGCAGCGCCGCGCTGCGCCCGCCCGCGGCTCTCGGTCCTCCTCCTTCGGCACCGGAGCCGCTCTCCGCACCGCGATGCCCGGCACACGGCGGAACTCCGCGGAAGAAGAAGCCGCGGCGGAACGCGACGGAGCCGCACCTGTTGGGGGGAGGCAATCGACCTGCCCCAGGGGCTCAGCCCAGATTGGGCCGTGGGTCTTGGGCAACCAAGGCTTGGTCGACTCTGCCAAGATTCAGACCATTCTGTTTGGCACATGTTTTCCTGGTCGGCGACGTGGTTGCGATCCTATTTTTCTGATTTCACTGCAAGACTCCAAGCGAGGAAAATACCATGGATGCCAACATTGTTTTTTCCTGGTATGATTCTGACTCATGTGAGCAAATGACTCCGGCCGGCTACAAGGAATTCTTGACCCCGGACGTTCTGCAACTCCAAAGACCCTCTACTTCACCCACCTAAAATCTAAAAGCAACCGATTCTTCGCTCCTCCCAGTTGATCCTTCGATCCGCCGTCGCCTCGTAGGGCCGCCAGCCGCTGCTTCACCTTCTCCGCCGCGCTCAACGGCGCCGCCCCCGCAGCGGGCGGACCGGGGGGCTCGGGCTCGGGTGGCCTGGGCGGGCGAGACCGTCCCGGTCGTCTCGAAAACGGAGCCAGCCAGGCGCACGGTGCATCCTGAGCTTCCCGGCACCGCCAGGCGCCCCAGCACGGGCTTGCGCTCCAGGCCCCGTAGCCCAGCGAAGTCGCGCGCTGAGTGCCATGGCACGGCCATGCCATCCGGATGGAAGAACGTCCCTTTGGCGTCTTTGACAGGAGGGACCTTCTGTCAGGTCACACTGGTTGGTGGGGTTAACTAAAGTGGTGGCAGGTAGGTAGGGGTGTGTATGTGAGTGCGAGTGTGAGTGCATGAAGCAGCAAAGGGCTTGAAACACGGGCAATGAAGGACACGGGCCCACTCTCAACACTGTCGTCTATGTCAATCTTCGCTTGTGCGTCGAGCACTCCACAGGTTAGGTCCACCACCTTTAAAGGCGCGTTTCGTGCGGTTCAGTCAGTAGATTTGCATCAGACTCTGCTTGAAGCACACATTGATGAGAACCCGCCCCAGAAGACAGGCAGAAACCGTGAAAGGAATGGCCAGAAGAGTGTACAGGCGTCTCTCGGAGTGGAGATGCCTGTTGAGATCTCTGCTTCGCATCAAGACCTACCGCCGCAATAGAAACTGTTTCTGGGTGTGTGCAACAATCGGTTGGAGCCTGTTTGTCCAAACCTGCTTGGAAGTTGAATTCTGTCAGAATACTTGAGCCAAAACTTGAGCCAGAAAAAATCACTTGAGCAAAAACTGCGGTACCTGGAGGGAGACTGCGGTAAGAAAGGGAAACTGTTGGACTTGGCATATAATCTGACAAAAAGCTTGCGGTTGCAACCATGCAGGTAGAACCCGTGATTGTACAGGAAGCATACAAATATGTCCATTGTGGAACTTGGAGACCTAGGCAACCGAAGCTGTTCTGAGCGTTCTCTAGAAGCGTGGCGATTCACCTTAGGCCTGAATGTCCTGATTCTGTTGAGGACAAAGAGGCGGAAATAACCCAATGCCAGCACTCCTTTCTTTCGTCTGTTGCTGAATGGTCGCATCATCTCGCAACTCTTCCAGCTGTGAAACAGGATGGACCTTCTTTTTCGGTACAGCTTCCGTTCGATCAAATCGATGGCTCTTTGTCCTCTCCATCTGCCCCGGGGTGCTGCACCGTTCCACAAAAGCGACGGGCCGGTTCCGAGAAGCTCCGAGAAGAAGCTCCGCTCAGCTTCTTCGAGCTGAAGCATCGCAGTTGGGCATCTTGGCCTGGCAAGACGAGGTGTCTGGTTTCCACACGCTAAAAATGGAGAGCGAAGCGAGACACAATATCTAGGTGTCCGGCTGTTTTCTCCAAGGTGAGCTAGAGATAGCTAGAGTCTGGATAGACTTCTGCACTTCCAAGATTCTCCGGGGACATGTTCCGAGCACCACCAAATCTGTCGGGAATTGACTCGGAATTGGCGGCAAAAAGCAGATGTTCGGATCCGGCCATCGAAAAGATCAATTCTATCAGGGTTTCTTTGAACAGAAAGTCCGAGCTCCAATGACTTTAAGAGACAATAAGAGACAAACAGGGCGCGCCATCAATGAAAAACGAAACGCCACTTTCGGGAGGAGAAGCCTTCCCTTTTGTTTTCAACGACGCTCAACGTGCTCAAATCCACGTCCCGTGGCGGAGTCACGCGCCTCACACACCTGCACAGGCCTCGCTGAACGGGCGACCCGGGCGGGGCGGGAAAGACCCGGACGAGCGACCTGAAGCGAATCAACAGCTGTCTCACACATGGCTCTCTGGGAAAACAAGGGCGTGAACCGGCTTCGGAGGTTGGAAGTAGTGGTGAAAATCCACTCAAAAACACACCCCGTAAACCTCTCACGGTTCGATGCTTGCTAAGGTGTCAGAAGGGTGTCCTTCGCCACCTAAAGAACGTCTGTACCGCTATCGGTGGGACCTCATGGAGTACTCATACCCTACGACCGCTAGAGGGGGCAGGGGCACCTCGGGACGGGACTGGTCAAACGACTCCAAGGATTCACTGTACCCGGAGTGCTGAATGGTGTTCAAATGCATGCAACTGATGGGTGCCCAAAATACTTCTAAGAGTTCCTTTTCTCTTGGTTTTGGAGTTCCTGTAACTCCCTTCTACCACTTCCTCACCGCAATGCCTTGCTCTTTACTAGGCCACCTCACTCAGGCGGCTGAAGCCTGGGCGGTTTGGTACAGCTGGGCTGGGCATGTGGGTCTGCGTCAATGTGAACAGGCGTGCTTTCTTTCAGCTAGTGTTTTTTTTGCAACCGGTCTGGAATTCCTATGATAGGCAAAATCTCTACTCTTAAACCACTACTGGTACCAAATCAGTCAATGTTACGAGGGACAAACAGTGTTGAGAGGGATCAATGACTCTCGGTCACGAGCATGCTGCTTGGTACCAACTGAAGGTCAAGGCCACATCTCATCCAAAACCCATATAGCTCTTTCACAGCCTGGTGTTTCATCCAAGCCGCCCAGTATTCTGACTACCTAGGCATCATCGTCGAAACCTCCGCTCGCCGGACAATCTCTCGCAGCCGTGTAGCATCGCAGTGACCAGAGGCGAGCGTGGCTTGATGTCCCAAATCTCAGGAAGAATGCCTCATGTTTGCACCGCCACCACTCGCATCAAAGGTGCAACCGAACGTCGTTCGAGGAGGGGAGTTTTAGGGACCGGAAGGTTTGGCGGGCCTGGCAAAGTGTCCAGGAAAGTTAGGTGTGGGCAACTCTAATACAAAACACGGGCATGCCCCTCCTTGGCCCCTTGTTCTCCAAAACGTCTCAAAATGAAACGCCTCAACATGCGCATCTTGCACCCAGAAACTGAGCTCCAAAGGCAATGCGAACGGAAGAACCGGCCTCACAGTGACCGGCCGCGGCAGTTTCCGGGTTCATCCCATGTTTGTCGCCCCTCGGTGTCGAGGGTCATTTGTCTTCCGCTTCCAACCGGCCGGGGTGCCTCCGAACTCATGCTTCCGCGGCATCTCGAGGATCAGCAGATCCTGAGCGGAGCGCTTTGGCCGAGGGCAGAACGACCCAACATGACCAAAACGGCAAAAGCGTTTGGCGCCTTGAGGCTTAAAACGTCATACCCACCGTGAGTTCATGCACTATACCCACTTATCCCACTACTTCCATCACTAGTCCTATCACTCGCGGGTACCGCTACCCGCTCTACTCCGCAAGTCTGTCGTCTCTGGAAGAGCATCTCCACTGAGTCCATCACTAGATGCATGTACTTCAGCTGCAACCTCCACAAATGTCGACAGCTTTCGCAGTTCACAACATCCAATGATTTCTGCCAAATCAATGATTTTTTACGGCGGAAACTCCCACCATCCTTGATTCATCTCATAAGTTTTTTACTGGACAGGCCATTCTGATGTACACTGCAAGAGCCAAGTCGTCGGGAACCGTGTCCCGCGCGAAGCGCGGCCTCGGATCGTCGGGGAACTCGTTGCCCGCGTGAGCCGCCACGATCAAGAAGACCTCGGGTCAGCGTGAGACGCGTCGTGCGTCGCGGGTCTCGGGGGTGCCTTCACCGAGAACCGTGGTGTCCGTGCCCAGCCGAAGTCCTGCGCTCAAAGCCCAAAAGCTGGGAGGCATGGAAAACCTACGAAAAAAAAAAAAAAAGATAAAAAAGGCTGGAAACCCAGCGGAAGGTGTCTCTTTTCCTCAATCAGAAGCCGGGCACCACAGAAGTTTCCGAAACCTCGAGCCTGCAGATCGGATCCAAACCATGCGAGTTGGACCGAGCGATACGGACAGAGCTTGGACCGCTGGGGCGACCTTTGCCACACGCGTGTATCGCTGGTGAGGGAACGAGTAGACCCATCGCATGCGATGGTAAAGCAAACAAAGCTTCAACTCAGCTTGGATACCATTCCCAACAAGGAGGATGAAAGACAGTTCCAAGGAATTTTGGAATACCGATACCAAACATGTCTCGTTTGGTTGAGGCGAATGCCGCGGGCTTTTCGCATGTCACCAACGTGTCAAAACAATGTTACCCTTCCCATGCTAATCGAAGGCCATCTTTAAAACATGTTAAAACTTACAATAACCATCTAACTGACCCCGGTGGGGCGGGGTCAAAAAGAACCTGTTGGGCGGGGTCAAAAAGAACCTGTTCCATGGGTTAAAAAAAACCTGCGTAGAGATGGAAGCAACCAGTCTTTCATCCACCTGTCTCAACAAGAGTCCTATCTAAACTCTAAACTGCGCCACCAAAACATCCAGGAGGCCAAGCACACACAGTGGGACGCCGGCGGACGGTGTGTGGGGAAGACGAAGATCAGCCCTCCACCCGGATTCAAATGACTCAAAATGGAAAGTCATGAAGAGTGTCATGAAGTGGTCTTGATATATTTCAGTACAGGATGCAAAAAAGGATCCTGATATGTGTTGTCTCATTCTTCATTCCCGAAGGCTTCCTCTCTCTTTTTCTGCCTTCCAAGCATCAATCGATGGAGTTTCGACGTGGATGTACTCCGTCTTGGCAGAGGCCAGCAGCGGGCGGTCCTCCGGCACGAGCGTCCGGGGACGAGCGTCTTCATCCACTCGAATGAACAATGCGTTCAACGAGTTCCACAAGGGTCAGAGAAATGAGAACCTACCACTCTACTTTCAGAGGACAAGCTCCAAGTGAAAATATGTTTCAGATACTTGGCCTACTGGGGCATTCCTTCGATATGTTTCAATATCTCGTTGGCAGCATTCAATTTGTGCCAGAAAAGGTCTCCTGCTTTCGGCAGTCAATGGCAAAGCGCACAGACTCGCCTCATCCGTAACGGGCACACGCGGATCAGTTTTGATCGTTCAACTGGGCAGTTCTGCCTTGCCGAGACCTGGTCCATGTTGAACAACTAACTCTGATTTGTTTGTTCAACCATCCAACTCTAGTTAGACTGAAGTTAGTTGTTCTAGTTGTTCTAACAACCATCACATGCAAGAGTTGGACTAACTAGCATGTGATCTACCAACCCAAAAATGACTTCCACCCACCCACCGACGTCCGACGTCCGACGTTTTTGCGAAAAAAAAAACCGCCTGCGGTGAACTCCATGGGGCGACCTGGGCGGAGGTCGAAGCGGAAGGATCGGTGGGAGGGATGGGCGGATGGGCGGAAGAGAGCGAAGGCACCGGGAGCGAAGGTGATCTTCTTTGGGGAAGGAGTGGGGAAGGGCTGACTCAAGGGGCATGGAAGGTTGGCATGGAAGG